GGGACTGTTCAATTTAATGAATTCGCAAGCAACTGTTGCATTTAATACATATATTGTATTATATATTAAGTTATATGAGCTTAGATAATTACGTCTGCACGCTTTATGTTTGATGATTAAAACTTATAAAATATGATGCTTTTATTAATGCTTAAAGTATAAAACAAAAATGTATCAAAATTTTTAGCAGTATAAGTATAGTATATAATCTGCAGTAATTTTTTGATTTGAAAAGAGTGAGAGAGATGGCCTATGCTTTCGGTCTAGCCCTCTCTCTTCCCTCATAGATGATTTGATCTCAGTACGGTACTATTTTGAGATAAAGATAGACTGAAACTTAGTTTCCTCTCTTTCTGAGTGACACGATTTTCATCTCTAATGCATGTCTTCTTCTTCTACCTGGCAATTTCCCAGCTATAGCCAGGGTCTGCCTTACATGTTGTGAATAGTTTTTAGCGATTTGTTTTTACGATCGGCCGCCTGCCTGACACCAACCCTTTTTTGGGAATCAACATTAATCAGTGATGTCTAAATACTCTTAGAAAGTACATATGATTCGGAAAAATCACATTGGTACTTGCCCGGGCCGGGATCGAACCCGCGCCCTCGGCGACGAGAAACCGAGAGGCGGACCCTGTAACCACTGAGCCAACACTGACTTTTCTCTAATGCATGTCTATTATATATAAACTGACGTAACTAGTATGTAAACTGTCACATAGAAGTTGTCAGCCCCAGCCGCGTCCAGTGGCAGGTGAGAGTTCCGTTCCCGTTTACGAGCCGCCGGCTAACGACTCCTGATAATAAAGACGTCGTAAATAAGAAACATTTTCTACGTGACCATCAAAACTGGATGCGCAAACTGATATATACATTGCTTTCAGTGCTGATTCGTTTATGAGGTATAGTAAAACTGAGAGGAGTAGTAGTACGAGTATAGGACGCTATGCATTTACGATTCCTAAACTAAATGTCAGTGTAAAAGTATTCAATTATGACATTATATTATATTTTCGCATTGCTGTATGTGAAATGATTTTATTATTGAAATCAGGTCGTTTTGTTATAAGGCGTTTTAAGATTTTCATTAGTTAATATAATGAGAGTCATTACATTTTAATAAAAAAATCCTTACTAATTTTATAAATGCGAAAGTAACTCTGTCTGTTTGTTTGTTACGCTTTCACGTCTATACCACTGAACTGATTTTAATTAAATTTGGTACAGAGATAGAGTTACTCTTGAGAAAGAACATAGGATAGTTTTTATCCCAGACTTTTGAAAGGTTCTCTTGGAAACGCGATATAACCGAACTCCACGCGGTCGAAGCTGCGGGCGGAAAGCTAGTTATTAATAATTATGAATGTAACTCCTGTATGGTTTTGTATTTAAGTTGTATGAATCAAAGATAACTGTAATATCACTTGTATTCGTATAATTTTATTAAACAGACTTCTAATAGCCACTGGCCAGGTAACACTTTAAGACAGTAAATTTTACCACCGATTTCGTAAACGAACTGCCTTGTATGTTTAATTTATGTTTAATTCTCGTTCTTATAATTCTTTAAACGTTTATTTTTTATATATTATTATATAATATGAATATATAAAACAGTGTCCCAAAGATGTTTGATGTGAGGCAGGCGGCCGGTCGTAAAAACAATTAGCCAAAACTATTCACAACATGTAAGTCAGACCCTGGCTATAGCTGGGACATTGCCAGGTAGAAGATATAAGATGTATGTATTTCACTGCCTAATATAACATTTTAATAATAAATTACAATTGAAATTTAACTATCGACAATATTGAATGGTAGAAGCGAAATTTTTTCGAGAAATCGACAACTTCAACGTTCAAATACTGCACGGGTCGATGGAAATTTCAAAGAGTTTTTCTGTATCGCCGTGGGCGCTATGGGATTTCAATTAAAGCTCCAAGAGGTAGGAGAGTGTTCCCAGGCATACACTACACACATGCTACACAAAAAACTCCTTACGAATTATATTATACGCAAATAAGTATAGGAAAGTTGTTTTCTTTTATAATAGTATTGATATGAAATAGAGTCGAATTTTATGAAGATTCTACCGAAGATTATAAGGATTATAAATCGAAAAGCATCTGTAATGTAATATTTGATATTAAAGAAAAAATTATGTAATTTAAAATTAACTGCATATAATGAATATAACATCGATTTTTTAAAATCATTATTGCTAGTTTAAAATTAATGTTTATTTAAAACTATATTTCGTTTATATTCAACTAAAACACTGATGTTACGTCGTTGAGTGTATGTACACGTGGGTATTTCGTCTCCGTGGGTGGTGGGTGGTGGGTTCAGGGTGTTAATCTTGTTCTTTTTTGCCTCTTTTACCTTTCTTTCCGATGCAAATTCCCCGTCACTGGCAACGCGGGCGTGCAAATGGAAATTGAGAATTCACTAATGTACGTATTCTGACCAGCTCGTTACTTCGATGTTCACAGCGAAATTTTTTTGTAAATGTGGCCAAAATGAGAAGAAATTTACAAAAAAATTCGCTGGTGGCTGTGTGGATTTGTTTTTTCTTTTTCTGTACCACTTTGTGATCTTGATGATGATTATGGCTGAATGTCAGAGTATAAAATGCTAGTACGTGCTGAGCCGATACATAAACTGTACTATAACTGTAGAATTTCATAGCCATTCGTACGGTACTGTGAGAAATGAACTGAAGATTATACATCTGCAAGTATTTAATATTCTTATTGTTTAATGATATACAGACATTATTGTACCAATATCGAGAACTTGTAAGGTGTGGTCAAATGTGGATGATTTCAATTGAATTAGTCTTCAAAATTTGCAATGAATTTTCAACCATCTCGTTCTAAGGCTCTTGTATGCCTTTTTTCTTCAAACACGTGAATACTCCGTACCTGAAATTTGGCTAAAAATGGTACCTACTCCTACACCTGAACTGCCATCCAATAAACGATCAATATTAATTAAAACCAACTAAAATTATGATAGAATTTCGAATGTTCTTGAAGTATTTGTTTGCTAACTAAAAGTAAATTTTAATACATTGGCTATAAGTAAACAAGAGTGAATGTGGAACTTTAACAAATTAATATTCTGCCTCCAGTACGCTGGCCTTTGACATAGACTATTTCGGGAATTATCCGATGCTCCTGGAGAGGCCGTTAATACAAAGAAGGCCTTATTGCATAGCCTAATGTGGAGATTTAATTAAAATTTTCTTTGTCCGCGCCGGCTAGCCGTGAGCTCGGGAACTATGCTTTGGATCATAGCATCGTCTCCCAAATACTACGTGGAGCAGCATTCAGTTCAGGTGAACTATTTAGAAAAGCTTTCGAGAATTTTATTAGGTATATACTTTTATGAAGTTTTTTCCATTATTATTTTGTTTCAAAATCTCCGTGATTATGAGAATAGACATTTGTTTTTTTTAGTTCAGTAATCTATACAAATAAATAAAATTTGAGTTTCTGTTTGTGATATAGAAATAACAGTTTTTTACTTACATATTTTTTTACGCAGACGAAGTCGCGGGTAACAGCTAGTTGTACAATAAGATAAAGTAAACAAAAGACTATCATACCCTTACCTTAATGATGAAGGAAAGTAATGAATTGATTCATTTGTACGTCCACAGAGCGTTTCATACAAATAAATCTCACTTAATCATCGCATCTAAATCAGATGCGAGGAGTTTTCTATAGTCTAAGACTCACATCGCACATCGTAAATCAATATCGACGGACCCGTATTAATTAGTGCGTTCGTTGCGCGGACCCTCGCGCCTCACTCTCCGCACCCTCTTACACCCTCTTGCACCCTCTTGCACCCTCCGGCACCCGGTTTTGCGATGAGCGTTTTTAATTAGGATCCCGAACAGTTGACACCTTCCTAGCAAATAAAGGTTCTTCCATCTGGCTTCAATCTGCAAAAGGAATTCTCCAAAGAAGGAATTCGTATTGACTTAGCATATCTATGTCAGCAATGGCATCGTAACAAGTGTCCCTTTTAAATGGTTGTTCACTACTTGATAGTAATTATTTAGTCTGAAAACAGAAAACTTATTTGGTGCGATATTTACAAGGTTAGGTTTTTTATTAACAAGTAATAAGTTATGGTTCAATGAATACTTTTGATAGCAACCACAAAGGTTAAATTATCTTAGTACATATATATACGTTATTGCTTAAGAATGTTTCTTTATTAATTTGTCTTTTAATGCAGATTACCTACTTTATAATTGTTTCTTCTTACATATAATGGATGATCAACATTTTCAAATAAGGCTATTATGTTTTTTGGAAATATATCTTAAGCTCACAAACCCTGTGTATCTAGATGAAGGTAGGGTCATTGACCTCTATTATTTATATTACATTATCGAAACGATATTTTATGTATTAATAAAAAATATTTTTGATTTGAACATGTTTATTAAAATATGATAAGACGGAGATATATGGACGAAAAGTTTTTTTCTTTAGTAACGTAAATCCATTGTTCTTTGTGTTTTATCAGTTTTGAGTTCATTCTTTAGTGGTTACTTATATGATTAAGTCATTCATATACAACAATGCCATCAAATTATTTATTTATATAGTAAAGTAGCATAAAGCGTTTTTCCTCTACAAGCTATAATAACTTGTAATATACTTGTGTTGAATTTCTTTGGGTGAAATCTTGCAACTTAATTTTGAAGCCGGTGTTTTAAGCTGATAAAATGTTTTGTAGACACATTATGTTTGGACGACAAGCATGGTGAAGTATGTTATGTCATTCTAAATCCAAAATGGTGGATTATATATTTTTATGCACTCCAATGTGGTTGTCAAATGGAAGATAGTTTACAACAGTTTTTTATTTTCTTACATATTCATATAACTTTTAATACTATGTTGATAAAGTTATAATAAAAATACTCAATCCAAATAGAAAATAATAATGTATACATACATAGTTATCAAACAACATGACTAGATGGTAATCCCGGAGTTTGCGGCAGTCGGATCAATCATGAACCAATGTCTGAGCTTCAGATCCCTTTGACAAAGGCCAGCTATTACGTCCCGAGGTTTTTGCGAGCGACAACGCTGCGTCATCAAGAAAAGATTATCGGGGGATGTTGTAAATCGGGAGCCCGGAAGGCGGGGCGGAGTCCCCGCGGGCGTCCTCGCGTCCGGTGGCGCGACAATTAGACGGGGGACGGAGCGAAGCCCGAGGGTGAGGGGCGAACGCTCGGGCCTACACGTAATAGGACCGGTCTTAGAACGTATTAGACAATTAGATCTTATCGCTATTGTACGGATTATTTGAGAATACGAATGGTTATGTCTCCTGCGATAAATTTTCGTCATGACTAACTTTACAAACACGTAAGGTAATGTTTTAATGTATTATTATAACCGCTATATTATTAATTACGCTTATCTGTTTGTTACAAATATACAAAGATATAAAAACTTTTTTTCAGATGTTATATCAATATTTATTACAAAAACTTCTAATACAAGTCAATCAGAGATGAAAAAGAACATGAATAAAAATTCACTTTAAAGTTGGGGACAAAAAAAAAGGTACGAAAACGGGGAAGCAAAAGTTTGGTGGCAATAAAAGTTGGGTCGAGGGAAATGGGTCAAAGTTGTCTTCATACAAATATAACAATAATAGGGCTGTCTACGGCACTGTCTACAGCTCGGTAGACTCGGAATAATTATGTTCCTACTTTATATTACATTGTAGGTAATACAATGATTCATTTAATACAAGTTAAGTACGGAAAGCGATCTTCCAAATTCAATCAATAAATTGTATATGCCCTAATTGGATCACGACTTTGATGTGGCGTACATACAGATAGAGATGTAAAATATATAAACCACAAACTCCAATTTGACCTTTAAACATATGACATTAGAGTCGTTTTAGCGTAAACTAATTAACGGTGTTTGTAGCTATTAGGTTGTGGTGTGTACACGTGCTATCTGCGTAGGTAAATCTGAATACAAATGAAGACATTAGGAACTCGCTAGGTCATTACTGCCCACGGCTAGATGCTGTGGGCGGAGTGACCCTTGACCTGTATAGGACATCTATTTATATGAGGAGTGACACATGAGTTCGACTTCTTGCAGTGAAATTTACTTTGCTTTAATGTTACCAATTTAACTAGAACAATTATATTTAAATTACGGAATTTATAACGTGGCAATTTTCGTCCTAATTCCTTTCTTCCTATACTCAGACGCGAGCGTATTTTATATGAAAAAACAGAAAACTAGCAGTTTGTAGTTTTTCGTTACTCGTAGTTAGGGTCATATTTTATCAATTGCATTTTGCGTGATATTATTTAGAATTAAATATTTTTTTAAGATTGAAAGTTTCCAGTTGTTAATTTCATAAGTAGTTAAAAATATCGATGAACGAATTTACGTTTTAGAGATTCATCCCGCGATATAATTTCCCTTGGGATGATGTATGTTCAGGTTGGTTAAGCTTTGTCGTAATATGAATAATATACTGTCATGTTCAAATCGAGACGATCCTGCTAAAACAATAGATAATAATGTATTAAAAGAAATAAAAATTTGTATATACTATACAAGGAAATGTTTTAAAACAATTAATTATGGTCATTTATTGTATATTTTACTATATATATTTAATTTAAAGAAGCTTTATTTAAAAATTTGTTCTATTAACCAATTTTAGGGACTTAAAGATAACGTCTTCGTGAATGAAATCGTTTAACGAAGTGATCTTTTTACCTTATTAAAACTGCATGACTCTCATCTTTATGAAACAAATTTCTTTTGATATTTATGCATAATTTAACCTTAAAAATCTGTCGTAATTAGTTTTATTGAATGAATGTTATCGACGCCATCTTTTTAAACGATATTGTCAGTCTATAAAATATGTCAAAGTTTATTTCTTTATAAGCATCAAGTTTAACTTCATACAACTTAATGTTGAATACTTTGTTCTCAAGTCAACTTTGCATTTTGAATTATTTAATATGAGACAGCCATATATTTCTAGTTGCTTATTTTTTTTATTTATTTTTATTTTCTACGTATTCTGTTAATTATTTTAAGTCGAGTTGTAAATAATATCGTTTGTGTGTAATGTCGAATTTAGACAAAAATTTTGCGACTTATTCTCCTATATTTTCACACAAAATTTTCGAAATTAAGATATTTTTTGGTTGGTTCACAAAATATCTTATTTCAGCAGACTTCCTTTAAGTAAACTATGAATATGTATTGTTAAATTCACCTTTTATAAAAATAAATTCACCTTTTATATTGTTAAATTTCCCTTCCTTAACAATAGTCATAAAATAATTTATAGTCTATTGCTACTTGTCAGAATATCAACTAATCTAGGATTCTAGCTAGGCCTATTCTGTAGCCTATACAGTAAAGGTAGGGGCGTAAAATCAATTTCATAGCCGCAATATCTAAAGAGGTCCAACGCATACAATGAATACCGGCTCTAGCCGTCAGCGGAGCGTCATTATTATTTAATCTGTGGCCATTTAAGCGCGACGGACGTCACCGGAGCGTAAGGCTAGGTAAGTTAACTGAAATCTGAAAGGCCTATTTACTAGATACATATAGAGTATGTACTACATATATAAATACATAATTTACCAACTACAACTTTGACTATTTTTATTACATGACTAGAAGACCTGGCGAACTTCTTATCGCCCTATAATCAAGAAATATCTATTACGTTTTTTTATTTATATTTTTGGAGTTTACCTGTAAGCCATAAATCTCCGTGTTTTGAAGTGCGACAGAATGATTGACATATTAGTTAGTTGTCAAATCTAATGTAAAAAAAAACGTTTGTATGGGAAATAGAAAAGTGCTGTTTTTATGGTTTTCCCAGTAATGAATCAATTTTTTCAGCTTTTATACCTTCCCTGAACCTCCACGAACATTTCAAGACTAAGATACGATAAATCCGTTCAGCTGTTCTCGAGTTTTAGCGAGACTAAGGAACAGCAATCCATTTTTATATATATAGAAGAAGATAGAAGATTACACTAGTGATGTGCTTTAATGAGATGCACATATCGATGTCGATAACTTCAGTCGTCACAAACTATGTCGATAAATGCGATCGCGTTGACAATTCGCGGAGTTAAAGACGCGGACAGCTGTGTTTTAGTGCTGGAATTATGGTCACTGCACTGTTTTATGATGTCTAGTAAGTTTTTATTTTACTTTATAACAGTGCCGCTGTGACGCAGATGTCTAGTGACGGTCTCCGTCATATTATATAGGTTTATATGAAACATTTCATATACGGTATACCATTATATTGTAGATTTAAAGAAGAAATCCTTATAATCTTAAAGCACGTATAAAGAAAACTAAAGTTAAAATTTTAATATTAAAATAGTTAATCTAAAAAACCGAAACTCGAAAGATAAACGGTACATCACTAGTACAACCGATAATACGGAATGTATAAATCTAATTAAGCTCAAAGAATATTGATGATATAACAACACTATTAGTGTTGGCCCGCGGATTTGCGTGTCGATATGTTTTGTAACAATGAGCCCGGATAATGACAGTGACTGCGCTCTGGAAACCTCACCCCTTGGATGATAGGGATGATAGCTTATTTCCAATAGATTATATTTGATTTAATGTGTGTGTGTGTGTGTGTGTGTGTGTGTTCGTAACTAGTTTAAAGTCTTTTAAATTTTAATTCAATCTATTATGACTACAATCGCGAAATGCCGCTGATAATATTTTATACACATTTAAATGATTTGCCAAGAGGAATAACAATGACCAATTATATATCACATGACTTTTACTTTATTTTCAGTTTATTAAAACTATACAATATAATAATACCATTTATATTTTTGAAGAACTTTGATTTAATTTTTAGTATATTTACGGATAATTATATAATAAACTAAACAAATATATAAGTAAGGCAAGCGTCATCGTTATTAACATCACGTGTACATTACATTGGCGTGAATTATACGGGATTAATCGTTGAATGCATGTCGGCTGGACCTACACGTCACTTGAAGAGAATAGAGGAAGGTATAAGAGATACTTCTTTAATTTTATAGGACAAAGGACTATAGAATTATTGTAAAAATGTTTAATTTCCCATAAAAATATTATTAAAAAAGGTGAGTTGTAAATGTAGTGATTAAAATCAATAAAAAATACATATATTTTGACGTTGACAGATCTGTTCCTATATATACACTTGCCTCCTTGACTTTGAAGTTTAAAAAAAAAACAAATGTCACTTGACACATGACAATCATTTGACACTGACATTGAAATCACTATTGACAGAAATGAATTGATTTTATAAAACAAAAACTCATTTGTTTTCACAATCGTATTGTTTATGCGGTAAGCGATCACACGTTAGTCCAATACACGTTTATATTCATACCAGCAGTGTTCCTAAATCGCATTAATGACTTTTGAGTTCCCGCCAAGCACGCCACGGCCGGAGCTCCGCGCGGCCATTATCAATATTCAAGTATAATTGATGATCATCAAACGCATTTACATTCAAACATACAATCGTAGACTTTATGACATTATATTGTATTAAATACAATAAATAGAATAAGTTAATTATTTTTTTTGTCTAATTCGGCTGAATGAATTTCGATCCATGACTATACGTGAAGTTGAAAATTCTTTTGTCATGTTCACGTAAAAATTAATAAATATGTATATTTATATTTCAGTACGTTGCGTTAGTTATAATATAAAAGTATGTAAAAGAAGTACATTTACTTATATAGTCATTACAAAGAAATAGTAGACAATTTTTACAATAATATTATTTATTTAAACAACCCGGTAATTCTTTAGAAATAAATAAACGGGTTATCAAATAAAAAAATCGTAATCATAGCATCCATAGAGTGTTGAGTTTATCTTATTTTTTTATGTACGCCGTCTAATTCTCTGCTTCAGACCTAGTTAATACCATTCGTACTATGTAGTTACGATATCGCCTTTTTTATTTGTGTTACTCTAATAAATGTGTGGTACGGTAATATTGAGGTAGGTTTTAATATTTAATATTTCAATATTAATATTTAATATTATACATTGACTGCAGTAAATTGATGCTACTTTTTTGTCTTTTCGTGAATACATTTTTAATGAGTTTATTTTTTTTATATAATTCATTTAAATGTATATATAAATTTCATTCAGAATGAAAGTCAGTTTCATGAAATATAAAGTCTGTGTGAGTTGTTCTGACCCTATCAACATCCGCATCGGGATATTAAATGTTGAACGTGGGGTGGATTTTATTATGCTTCTAGGAACTATTCTGT